TGTGTATGTATTTGTCCCTTTTTTGTACGTGAGTGTTGACGCCGCTCGTGTAAAAATCAACGTGTATGTTTTTGTCTTCAGTCGAGCGGCAATTCTCCTACTCGGGGCGCTGGGGATGTCCCTGTGGACTCGACTGAGTCGCACAGATGCATGGCAACGGACCCGAAATCCTATAAAGGCACGCATCTCGTTGTTCTCGTAAGATTGACTGACACCATGAGCGGTTCGTCATCGGCGTGCAGGTGCATGGCTTGCAGGGCAGTGCATATGATATGCGGTTATTCAAGAACAATCTGGCGTGTGTTTTCCCTGACTCGTTATTCCTATGTAGCTCTTGCAATGAGGAAGATACCGAGGGAAACATTGCAGAAATGGGTGGGTTCACACACTGCGTCGTTCATTACGGTTTCATTGGCTCAGGGCAGCGCCTCGCTGATGAAGTGGTGTGTTATATTTCTGACTGGTGCCCAGGAGCTGCACTGGTGAGTTCGATAAGGGGTATGGAAAACACGTATAGTTGTCGTATAAAATACGCGCTGATAACGCTACTCTGGTTTGACAGAAATATAGGCACTTGAGTAATGTTAGCATCTATCTGAATGAAGGGAGTGATAGCGACGTCATCTACAGACCGGGAAAACTTGTGCAGAGGTACCTTTCTCTGTAGAACGACTTTGAAGCTGAAATTTGGAATATAACGCCCTGTGATATAGTTTAATTGCATGGAATCTGTCCGCAATCGATTTTAGAAAAGAATCATGACAATTTTTTCGCATATGTCCGACCCCGGAATCGAACCTGCGCCCTCTGTAATTAGTAAGGAGAAATTTATGTACGTTCTCCTCGGCTGAGGTTGGAAACTTCCTCATTATAGGAGTTCATATACGAGGTCGGATAGGATTGTAGAGAAACTCCTGAGAATTTTGAAGGATTCTCTGAGAACTTTCATATTGTCACTAACACATGTAGTTGAGCATATGCATATTTTCCCACGTTGGTTGCTGTATAGGAGGAGGTTCCATAAACTGACATCGTAGGTTGTTAATGAAAGGTTCCCTTCAGACTCGACTGTCCTTTATTTCACATTCACTCGGTGGGCTCATTGTACGAGCGGCTCTGCCAACACTGATGGACCAGCCAGGGATATCTGAAAAATTGTAAGAGAGACTATTTATCATGTAGATGCACTCAAGCGAGCGTGTTGTGAAATATTGTCATGCTATTTTCTGCCATGTCGTGGTGGCGCTGCTGGAATGTTACACGCAGGTTTACTTTCTTGAGCCTATCAGCGCCCCACTTGGGTTATCTATATAACAGCAACAAACTCATTGAAGGAGGCCTTTGGGGTGAGTTGTGCTTCGATCGGGTAGATGATTGACTTCAACTTGATCAGTGCTTAAACGGTGGCGCAAGTCCGAGTGTTTGAATCAGCTTACAATGGCTGATTCCTATATTCCCGAGGAGTGTTATCTCTACCGCTCGGCACGGGAAACGGGGGAAATTCTACCTCGGTGCGCTCCTCTGAGGACGGTAGTTGATACGATAATGATGGTTCAGGTTCCGATATGTTGTATTGGCCTCGTCGTGCCAAGATCAATATGCTGGCTTCGATTCTGCACGCGTTGAAATCTCGGATAGAGTGCGACAGGAGCCAACGATGGGTTCAGTGTGAGTCGGGAGTCGCTCATTCATGGTTCAGTTTTATCTTATTGCAGCCGTGAAAGAGTAGTTATTGTGCAGATACACGGAGATGGCCCGGTCGCTGGTCTCCGGGATCGCACCCGAGAAGCTAATTCGGTTGGATGTTAACTTTTACCTACCTGAACGTAGCCTGGATTCACTCATAGGCCGAGCAGCTCACATACAGTTCATTGAGAATCAACCATTGATGAAGATGATTATTCATAATTACTCTTTTCTCTTTCAATGATTCCATCATCTATGCTGGGTGGTGTTTGCTGGGTGTATGTTGGGTGATGCCGAATGAAAATCGCGCGCGCCCTAGGATAAAAAGGTGCACCTGACGATCGGTAGGACATTTTAGACTTCCCTCGACAGGGTTTATAGCTCGCCAGACAGAATCGTTTCTTGGCACTCCATCCTTCATGCGGCTCGTTTGCCATGATATATACAGACGTTTTCTTGAGAGGAGGTTTCCGAATCGCGGTTGATCTTGATAGGATCATCTTATCTACACCTTTTAAGGGCCTATTTCGCCTTTAGTGAGATCAATTTCGCAGGGCGAGCGATCATTCGAGCCAAGATATGCCTTAGTAAGATCAATTACACCAGCGCGCTTGATAGAAAAATCAATTTCGACGATACGTGTCATTAGTACAATCAATTTCGCTGGCACGTCTGAAGAAAGTTCTCTTTCGAAGAAGTGCGGAAATCAATTTCGCTGATAGGACGTTCAATTTCGTCGATCATCAATCACTGATCTCCTCACCGTATAGTAAACAGAAACACCACTAGCACAGGTGATGGGAGCCAGGTCTATAGAAGCATCAAATCTCTACCTACTAAGGGACCACCGTCACATATACGACATGCTGGCGTTAGGAGCTCGAACACCCCGCGGTGCTGTGATAAATCCAGAGAAGAGGCGGAGGCCTGGCAACTGAGGTGTTCGGCGGCATCACACGAGTTTTTCGGTGTTTAGGAACCCCCTCCCATACATATGGTACAGCATGCAAACTCTCTGAGCGATCGGTGTGCCTTATGGCTCCCTTCATTCACGGCTATCGAATCACTTTACGCATACACGTATAATGTAGTAATTCTGAAGCGATCTGTATCAACAATGATGCCGGATCCCGAGTTACTCCAGTGCTGACGCGATTATAGACGTCATATCAGTGAATCCGGGGACCGTAGTGTATCCACATGCATTGGAGTTTATATTCTCCCTCCTGGGTCGAGAGGACTACAACGATGCTCCTCTACTTCGTCATGCAACACCATTTCGTTCATAGTACTACTGAGTTACATAACGTTGCCGAAGATACTGTACGTATTGGAATTACATCTACTAAATACTCAACATAAATGCTTGTGCGACTTAGAGACGTTTTTAGGTCAAGATACTCACAAAAGTCGAGGAGCATCGATAACACTATCGTCATCACTCCAATTAAAACTTGATATAGCTGTGTGGAAAGAGCATACACTCGAGCAGGAACTCGTCCTAGTTCCACGTCTCGCATCTCGAATTGAGAAGTCAAAGTCTGACGGTAACAGCGACTTTATAGATACACTTTGCACGTTTGAATCTCCGTCATTAGCTGGTCGTTGAGTTGCTAGTCTGTTGACAATGTCAAAGACATCTTCCTCCCAGAAGCCCTCCTGACGGTCTTCAAGATCTCTTATTCTGCGCCGACTCGCCTCCAACTCCAATTGGAGGCGTACCACCTCGCACTGGAGAGCCTCGTTATTTTGACCGGAAAACTCTCTAGCGTCATTCGAGCTTGAGGACGGAGTCATTCTACTGTGATTTGGTGACAGAATATGGGTCTGAGAAACAACCTATTATAGACTCCCTGAGCCTAAACGTTGGATCAGATGGGCTCACCTTGTCACACAGATCTACCGGCAATTCGTCACAACTGTTGATGGAAATATTAGAGTTCATACGGAATCGAGTCACACTGGTCGCCACACTCTGAGCTGAACACGAAGGAAATGCATACAGAGTTAAACGCTTGGATGAACTCACACGGCGTGACTACGTCGTTGACGAAAGATTCGGGCGGCAAAGACAGTGGTATTCCAAGGGGAGAAGGTGTGGCTTCATCTACGATATAAAATTGGGATGATCGACTCCGAGATCCCACCTGCCAGAATTATCTCATTTTCTTGGTCTCCTGTACCAGGCGCTACAGATAGGGTGTCCTTTGTGTTTCCCAATAGCTCGGAAGTAGATCTCTGACCAGTAGGTTCTGCATAGAGTATTGACCACCGACAAGTCGAAGTCCTACTTGTGTGGCCGCTAACACTACTCGATGTAGACGCTGCAGTAGAACACCCCTCAATGTAAGATAGATGACTTCGCGGGAAACTCATACTCCTTTGAAGGTTCAGTAGCTCACCTGAGTTTACCGCATATAACTCTGTTGTAAAGGGGGGAAGTACTACCTTTTGGTGAGCCGTTTCCTCTAAGCTTTGTCAATGCAGCATGCGAGATATGCATTACCCCCGTCATCGACCGGGACTGGACCGGTGACATAACCGGCTTAGGTTTGGCACCGTGGGGAACCTACTGGCACCACATGCCATGCCTCCTCTGATGGCCATAGGACATTACCGATGAGAATTTAGCGATCCTGTCGCTAACCTTAGTTGGTGTTTCTAGTGCTAAACCATCACGCCGCTCATACACCGCATCCGCATGACTGGTAATACCCCGAGTCTGAGAGTTAAACTTCGACCAAATAATGATGGCTCCAATGAGCTGATGAATTCGCCACACAATTTTCCATGAGTATACATTTTACTGTTATATCACCTCCCACACTTCAGCACTTTCATCTGTGAACTGTCGTCGTCGATTCAATTTAGTCCAAAAATCGCCATCACCTCCCTTACTGCCACATGACGTCGGTCGTCTTGGCATGGAGACAAGTAACCCCAGCAGGTGGGGCCAATAAGTTCTACATCTACGCCTTTCACACAGCAACGGTTCCTTCCGACTGAACACAACAGTTCACAGAGTTCATTCGGCCTAGCCTGATTATGTATTAATATATCAAAAAAGTGACCACGAGATGACGTTGAGGAACGTCATCATGTACTTTCCCTTGTGCAGTCCACCAACACTCCTTACTCCAAGAACCAAGTGAAGTAACCCTCACCGCGAAGACCATCTGGAATGAACATGAATACTATAGTGATGACAAGACAGTCTGGCTGCTTACCAATACGCTTCATCGCCCACGGCGGTTGCTCATGCACCTTCTGGTACTCCTGACCCCAGTGTAACCAAGGGCCCCAAAGGAAAATACAACCTGGAAAATATCATCCAAATCTGGTATGACTACGAACTTACTCATCAACCACCAATTGACCGACATCTCTAGCCTGATGGAATCCTTCAAGTAGTTGATGTTGGGGACCTAATATTTGAGTACCGAACTTAATCCGTGTCCACTTGGTCACGGGAATATATGAACATGTGATGATGGGAGAACCCGAACGCCGGGAGAGGAATGTCCCGGACTGTTAGACTTACAGTGTGCGCACACACGGAATTAGAACCGACCCTGGTTCCACTGATGAACTCACTTCTCTTTGAGGCCTCTTCTGCTTGAGACGATTCCATAATACGAGCTTCATCAGATCAGTGTTCTCCGGACCGTGCATACCCGAACCGCGTAGTTTCTGAGGAAGACCCACTGTTCACCCGTCATCACCAGGGGCTCATTACCCAATGCTTAGGGATAGGCTTGGTCATAGAGTAGTCGCAGGGCTTCATGACGTCAGCTGGGAACTTCAACGGTGGGGTATTCTCCCAACCAGTGACGTAGTCGTTGGCTCCATCTGTGAAGAAATGCTTCAGACGAGCTGATGAACGCCGCAGAGCCATGCCAACAAAACTCTACAAGGACAGTTGAACAATAGTCGAGCCGAGAGTCTCGACTCGAGAGGGATACAACATGTTGGTCAACGAACACGGAATAAGATATAAAGTCTCATAAGTATGCTTACCGCAAGCGCCGGAGAGTGTCCCACGACCTATGCATATGATGCGCGCATGACCTTGGATATGCAGAAGGGGAAACTCGAGATGAGTGAAGAACGCAAGATGTCCCAATCGCAGTAAAAATTTGGGTGAGAACTCGTTGCAAAGATTGCTCAATGCTTGAGATTCTCCTGGTTGAACCAAGCTGGAGCACGCCCTATTCCCATGTATTCACGTATTGCATTCCCACTCGTTTTTCTCGTCCATGGAATACCTCGTGGAGATCCTCCATTCAAGTTGATCGTGAACGCATCCCCAGAACTTGCGAAAATGGTTCGTTTACAGAGTCAATTCCCCTGTTGAGTTGTGCAGGCCTGTATAGGAGTTTAGGGTGATTCATCCTAGAAGCTCCATACGTAGGCTAGTGACTAACCTACGTACGGAGCTTCTAGGATGGATGGCGACTGGCCGCTAGTCCCCAATGGGTCTGTTGGGTTACGGGGAGATAGGGTCTCTCGGGATGACAGTCTGGGTTGTCAGTCTCAACGAGTTTTGATCTGTTTCTAGTCAATCTTTCACTCTGTACAACAAAGGTTCAGATATTCTTGCGATTCGAGGAATTAGATTGTATATTAGGGCATGATTATTTCTGTGGTTTATTGATTCGGGTGCTCTTACGCATAATACGAGCACTGTTGAATATGCTACATAAAGGCGGTAACAATGCGAGCCACATAAAGGGTCGAGTTTAGTGCGGGTCTAGTCATGTCTGAGTACACCACGATTATAGCCGAAATTTTGGTCCGGACTGAACGAGTACGCAGGTGCTCCTTCAGACTGGACAATACAAAGGGAGATTAGTCATTCAGCACTATCATTTGGAATGCTTATCAACAGAACACCATGTCAATCCCCGAAAGCTCATATAAACCAGGACGTAACCGTGGGCTCTGGATCGCAGAGAAACCTCGAGCCTCCGCAGACTGCAGAAGACCAGCTCAAACAGAGGAGACCCCTATTGGACGAACTCGCTACATCGAGTGTACTGTGCAGTGGCAGACCACAGAGTGCTAGT